CGGAGGACCCGAACCCGCCGACGACGACATTCCGATCAATCTCTGGAGCCTCAGTCAGCGCCAACACATTCACCCCTCTCTCCACTTCTCTCTGCGATCTCTATCCGTACAGCGCCGGCTGCGACCGAGCGGCGAGGTTCGAGAGCTCGACCTCGTTCGCTTCCATACCTCTGCAGCCGGTGCCCCGGAAGTCGTATCAGGGAGTTGCGAGTTCGGGTCCGATCGAGAGAGGGTTCTTATCGGGCCCCATAGAGCGAGGGTACTTATCGGGTCCGATTGATCGTGGGCTGTATTCGGGTCCGATTGAGAAAGAGTGCGAGAGATTAGAGAGAAGTCTCTCATTTGGGATTGAAACCAAACCCAAAAGAAGGGGCTTGATGAAGATTATAAGAAGAGCGATTTCAAGTGCTGTGAGTCGTGGGCAGAAATCGAGTGTTGCGCCGGTGAAAGGAGGCATATCGGTCAAAGAATCGGATTCGGAGAAGATGGGTGGTGGGAATGCGACTCCGAGTAGCACTAATTTGAGCAGCCATGTGAGTTTGAGCAATGAGAATGAAGATTGCAGTGGAGATTACTCAATGGGGAGCCAAAATCTTCATTGGGCGCAAGGGAAAGCGGGTGAGGATCGAGTTCATGTTGTGGTTTCAGAGGAGCATGGCTGGGTTTTTGTAGGGATTTATGATGGGTTTAATGGCCCTGATGCCCCTGATTATTTACTTTCTAATCTTTACTCTGCTGTGCACAAGGAACTCAAGGGGTTGCTCTGGAATGACAAGTTTGAAATGGAAATGGAAACCGAATCATCGGCAGTAAAATCATCGAATTCGTACCTGGATTCGGGTTCCTTAAAGGAAATTGATCGGTCCCAGATGAGTAACCGGATGGTTCATGGGGAGAATTATGCATTAGAAAATGGGGATATTAATGCAGATGCTAATTCAAAGATAAAACAGAGCAATGGGTTGGGAAATAAGCTTGAGGAGACTCAGAGGCGGTGGAAGTGTGAATGGGATAGAGAAAGGCCAGAGCTTGATAGGAAGCTAAAGGAGAATTTGAAACGTCCAGTGTCAAATGTTGTGGCGTCTGCTGATCCTAAAGATGTTCTTAAAGCTCTTTCAGAGGCCCTTAAAAAAACAGAGGATGCATTTTTGGATATTGCAGATAAGATGGTGACAGAGAATCCTGAGTTGGCTCTGATGGGTTCTTGTGTTTTGGTGATGTTGATGAAGGGAGATGATGTTTACTTGATGAATGTTGGGGATAGTAGGGCGGTTTTAGCTCGGAAAGCCGAACCCAACATGCGGCGGAACTTGGAAAGGATTAGTGAAGAGCCTTCAGATGATCTTGATTCATCAAATGCTGATGAAAGTTACAGTTTGAATAATTTGACTGCACTTCAGCTCACAATGGATCACAGCACATATGTGAAAGAGGTAATATTTCTTGTCTCAAACCCCTCTCTATAAAGAAGAGTGCTTTTTTGTGCTTATATTCTCTGTTTTGATGGTTTATTTTGAGACTAAACCCAAGTTCTTCAAATCTCAGGAAGTTCAAAGAATAAAGAATGAACATCCTGATGATGCTTCTGCAATAATGAATGACAGAGTGAAAGGTTATTTGAAGGTCACTCGGGCCTTCGGAGCTGGCTTTCTCAAACAGGTATGAGGAACCTCAACAAGTTCATTACTTGATAAATGTCACATGAATGAGAATTGCTCTTCTTCACAAAATGTGATATATTGGTCAGCTGTGATCTTATAATTTCAATTGTTTGTGCATATTGTTGCCCATTTTTGAATAACCATTAACATCTGGTTTGGTTTTGTTGCAGCCAAAATGGAATGATGCTTTGCTAGAGATGTTTAGGCTCAACTACGTTGGAACTGCTCCCTACCTCACTTGTATACCATCAGTCTACCACCACAAACTCAGCCGCAGAGACAGACTCTTAATATTGTCTTCTGATGGACTCTACCAATACTTCACCAATGAAGAAGCTGTCTCTGAAGTTGAGTTGTTCATCTCTTCGTTTCCTGAAGGAGATCCTGCACAACATCTCATTGAAGAAGTGTTGTTTCGAGCAGCAAAGAAAGCTGGTAAGCCTTTTTGTCTCGGTGAACAAGTTCTAAAGATGTGACTATTTTATGAAACTATAAAGCTTAATGTGTATATTGCGGTTTTGCAGGAATGGCCTTCCATGAGTTGCTTGACATTCCGCAAGGGGAACGCCGGCGGTACCATGATGACGTTTCGATCATTGTTATATCGTTGGAGGGAAGAATATGGCGATCATCCGTGTAAATAAACATTAAAACTGCAAATAGAAAAAGTAATTCACAGAAGGGTTGGATAACTTTGCCATACATTGTTTCATTTCTACCATTTTCCCCCTTAACCTTTGTAAGCATACCCATTAGGCTCCACCAGAGACAGCTGATTTCCATGTCAAAGTTTGGAGTTCTTGTTTTGGCACATATGTAATTACAAAATAGTAACCCTTTTGCTTCTTCCAAGTTCTAAGAGCATTGTGTGAAACTAAGAATTGAGATTTCAACTCGAATGAAAAGAGTCATCATGAAGCGAACTGCAAACTCAATTGCTATGTTCGAACCCTCGTAGACCAAAAAAATACCTGATTTTACCTAAACGCGCAATTTTCATGTGATTGCATGTATCACAAGTCTTTGTTGTAGCCAACAAAAGCAACTTAGATTTCTTCAACCTCTGTTGTCATGATTCTCTGACAAAGGAAAGAAAACAGAGTTGTTGGGACAAAGAGTCTGTGATTCTTGTCCTGAAGTTGAATAAATATGTTGATCCTCATGGGGCCAAACCCACCCCAGGTTCTGTCTTCTTCACTTTCGCTTTATGATGTAAGTCAACATCATACACAGTCACACTGCGACAGAAAAATGAAACCTTAGAATCTTTAGTATTTTAGGAAATGGAGTTGTTGATGCATAACCTAATGTTTAGTTCAATTTCAACCTAAAGGGTTCTCGATTTGAAGCATGAAGTCACCCTCAGCCCTGCTTCTCTTTACCAAATCTGGAAAATAGAAACCGCCTAGCTTTTTCTATCCCTACATTTCATGGGTTTGAACTTCTACATACATCATAATCAACACCTTTTTCTGAGCCATTCCAAAGACCTGGAAAAGCATATTGGTTTAGGTATTAGCTGAATATGACTCCCCTCCATATTGCGCCGTTTATGGTTAGAACTTAGGTGTAAAAGTAGAAGGTTTTTACTATTTTAAGTGGTTTTTTTTCTTTTCCCTCAAAGCATTTCAATTGGAGTTCCTGTTACCAAACAGGATTGGCACATGAAAATTGAACTCTTTCAAATGATACTCCTTATTTTCAAGTTAAATCTTAGCTAAAAAGACTAGAAATTTTTTAGGAGCTCATTAAACAAGCATGGTTGAAATTGAAATTCAAAATATTTCTGGAGACAGATATAAAGTATGGTTGAGATTGAATTTCCAACTTCTCTCCAAATTTTAATGTAAAAGATCATTTGAGAGTCCATTAGAGATGCTGTTACATCATGAGATTCAAAATTTTGTTAGATTTAGAGATACACTTATGATGCAGTTGATAATAAAATTATAATCAACAATTTCAAAATTGAAAATTCGTTGTGGGGCAATGTCAATATATTAAATAAATATGTAAGCTATGAGTTTCAACATTTGTCTTGTCATAAAATTAAAATTCTTCCAAGGAGGGGTTGACGATTTTGTATATATGAACTGCATGAAAAGGGCAGCGCAGTTGGAGATGATTACGATGGTCAATCCATATCATCCTTTGTTTTAATCCTTGACACGTTTTCATGCATCATGACTTTGCCTATTTTCAAAATTCTAAATTGTTCCTTTTTCAAATACTAGAGGTCACGTTCATATTACGGCATTGCAATAATTGACCAAAATTTTTGAGAAATGAAATTTGAAGTTAGAGAACAAAAGTCAGAGATAAATGTACCACACACGCACTTTTTAATTGTAAGGGGTATGTATGGAATTCAAGGGGTTAAGAGTATTTACTTATACATTCGAAATTTTGTATTCGATTGTCCCTTTGGTCAAGATTGATTGTATAATAATAATAATAAAATTACTCACAAATCTGACATATCCAAGTAAACTCAGGTGACTTATTGTTTGTGTGGAAACTCTGAACATCTGCTTAGTTCTCATGATTTGGGGAAAGGACTTGAAAAGTTGAACTTTTGGGTTGACTTTCAATGGAAAAACAACGTTGTCCTTCTCAAGCTCAAATAAAATAGCTGGAACAGAAGAGTAGATAAGAAAATGAAATGTTTGAGTTTAGGGTCCTGCGTGCGAGTTGGGGCACCAGTCTAGCCTCCACAATGAGACGTGCCAAAGTTCTCCAGGTGATCAAAGAAATTCAAACTATATGTACATTTCACATACAAGTGCTTGAAAGTTGAAAGTCAGCTCAAAACTTTCATTTCAATCAGCAAACACTCCAAACACTCTCCGTTTGGATGAAGAAATTGAAAATTAAATAGAATTTTAAAATGACGGAATTTTGATTTCCATCATTTCAATTTTTGGCGATTGAAGATTTCTGTGTTTGGATTTATGTATGTCGAATTTTGTAAATGGCACTATGAAAATTGTGAAATGATGCCTATTTTGATGGAAATTAAACTCTGATGTTCCAATTTTCACGATTTTTCCGTGCGTCATTTAATCAATTCCGCGCTTAACTTGCCAAACAAGGGAATTGTTAATTTCTCCTCTTAAATTCCCGACTTTGAGCTAAATTCCGAGTTGTTTTCCCTCATCCAAACGGATTGCTAGTTGACAATCACATAATTGACTTAAATTAATTCCTTTTTGGAGTGGGCAATGTATTTAAAACTTTATTGTGTTAAATCAACTAAGGGGGGTGTATTCAATTTAGATTTTAAAAGATTTTAAAGAAGTTTAACAGTTTAGGTGTATTCAATCACGATTTTATAGAAGTCTATTCAATTATGGGTGTATTCAATTCAAACTTTTTAAACTCCATTCAAATTTGGATGTATTCAATCACGACTTTAAAAGACTTCATAAAAGTTTGGGTGTATTCAAAAACTCATTGATTTTAAAGGAAACACAAAAAGTGGTGGATTTCGTTTGATAATAGACTAATTTTAGGTCATGACAAATCTTTGCTTCCCCCTAGAGATTTTGATGGATATATTATTTTTATTCTCAAAATATGATTTTTCACCACTTCTACTACCACCATCTTATTATGACTATCACCATAGTCGTTGCCACCACCATCACCACCACCGTAGTCATTGTCGTTGCCACCATCTCCGCCACCCCTAGCACCAC